TCAGATAGCATTTTGAGGCATCCTAATTTTAAAAATTCTTCCGGGGGATGCACCAAGACCCCCGCTAAATGCGCGCCTGTAGCCAGATCATCATCCCTTATTTGTGTAGTTATTGATTATTCTCGCTCAAAAACGACAATTTATTCTCGGTACGTTCATCTCTGCAGAATGCTCAGGAATGGTCTCAGATAGTGTTTTCAGGCATCCTGCTTTCAAAATTTTCTGGGGGAGGACCCCCTAAAGGACGCCTCGGTCGCCGCCCCCCCCCCCCTAAAATTTAATAAGATCTGCGGCCATGGCTACGTCATGTAAGTCGAATTTCTGGATAGCTCCCTTTCCACTGATGGGGTATTGGAGTAGCCCCTGTCGAAGAATTAAGAGAGCGGTTCAGAAATTCTTAAACGTCGTTTCCAGTTTATTATGAACAGAATCTTCATATGCTAACTACACCCCCCCCCCCCACCCCCGCCCGAATCCACTAATTTCAGAATGACGCCGCTGATGACGAAGATGATGAATACGAAAGTTCCCGATCTTGACAGTTAATCATTGTGTATTCATAAATCAGATTTATTTTTTATGTACTTACGTGTAAGGAATTTGATAAAATTAGATGTATTGATATTGCATTAGAGGATGTGAAGAAATGTGGAAATCGTGTGTTAGCACAAGTACGCTAGGGTACACCATATCATTGGTGATCGGAGAAATATCCACACCGTTAATACTGATCTAATAAAGCTTTTATAATATTGGACAATTCGGATTTTGATTAGCTAGTGAGTGGAAGTGGAGATTTTATGGCATCACTTATGGGGGTAATTGAATTTCATCATCAAAGTGATCTTTTTTGACATTTAGAAATGTGCTTATTATTTTCTGTGGTGCCAGTAACGAGGAAAGCAGGAACACTTTTTTAAAATTCAATTCCATGTTAAATGATGCATTGTACTGACTGCTTTGCGTAATTTTGGCAGTCACTCGCTACTAAATTAAGACGGGTACGATTAATTATGTTTGCCATGGGTTAAAAAATATAGCTAATAGTTTTGAACAACGATTTATTTGGCTGGGAACAGATTTTAATTGCGGATGTTATAAAAGTCGCCGATTTCTTCATCTAAAGTTCTCTGGTCTTTTATTCATGATCAGACAAGGAATTTATCCCCTTCGAGATTATTTTCTAGGCCAATATAACCATCGCCATACCTCATACTGAAATAACGATTAGCTTTAATCACATGTAGGGATGTTAGTACGGTGTAACCGGAAATAAATATTGCCTGGAACATGGTCTTAAAAACCACCATTTGATCATTACAGAACGAGCGGTTTCCATGATGAATTTTATCTAAATAGAACTTTAATGTCTAATGTACTGCAATATCATATTATCTGATCATGTAATAAAACCCATTAGCGTCACAAAAATGAAATATTGGTTATACCTAAGAAAATATTACACTTAGGATCGGGAGTAATTACTGAAGTCATGGGGGGTCATATATTATTCTCTCCTAAGGCATATAGTGAATAATCATTGGACTTACAACAACACCTGTCGACCAGCAGCTGAAATTACTTTGTCTGTATTTTCAGGAGACAATCAACTCATACTACTTAGTAAACATCTTGATCTTTGTCTTCCCAGTTCCCAGTGCATATCTGAAGCTTTTCTTGATTTCTTACAAAAATTCCATAATGACATTCCGGGAATCTAAAGCAAGAGCTAACGTACTTATAGTATTTGAAAAACAAAACTGTTACTTCATAATGGATTACCGTGCTTAAATATTTTTAATGCCATATTTGCTAAAAATAAAAGAGTCCAAAACGACCCATCCAATACACGACATAAAGTCTACATCGTAAGAGCAGTAGTTTGTGCGTAATCTCTCATTTTATTTCCATATCAAAGTAAGACGACAACACGAATATCGTACGTCATGCAGTGTGATAAATGGACAACTTTGCCAGGACTGCGGTTTTTTCATCACACCCTTAGACGATTTTCCTTGCCAGACTCTTCGTCCCGCACCACAGACAGGGTGAAACCAGACTGGAAACAATACCCACCGAGAAACGAAACATTACTGTTCGAGGGCTGACAAATCTCATATATCCTTGTGGGGTTTTTATATGGTGTAATACTTATTTTTTATTATTCTAATAATACTGTAAAATAAACTTAAATATTTTTTAAAACTTGGTTCGTCATTATATTGGTAACCATTGTCCAGCGAATGTCATCATACAAGGTAGGTTTGGCTTCCTAGGTCCGGTTTCTTATTAAATCAACTCCTGGGATGACAATATGGTTGACATTGTTTCATGGTAACGGTTTGCTCATCCCTATTGCCCCATATTTAAACCAATACTACTAATCAGTTTGTCAATTCCCTCTGATATAATTATTATTGCACTGAAGTAGAATTCAACATTAATGTTGATTCAAAGCAATTTCGTGAAACGCTAGCGGCGCATCATCGTTTACTCAAACGAGAAACAGGATTTAACATACACGACACAAAGCTACAAGATATCAACTTTAATTGGTTTAACCGGTGGCCAATGCAATTATTACCTAGACAATTTACTTACATGTCGGAATCCAAATTTAAGAAACTGCCAAACATACCACCTGCTGACGATATTTCATCTTTTTGAAATGTATAACTATTGAAATTACAGGTATTAAAAATATAGAAAAGAGAGGGAACAAATATGTAATTAGAACCTGATAGTAAATCTCTCTTATATACTAAACGGCAAAAAAAATGTCAGTACGATTTCAAAATCAGAGGCACTTTAATCAAATCATTCTGGAAAACGACTTACTAAATGGAACAAAGCAATTTTTTGTGAACAGTATGTTGACATATTAGTGATTAATTCATCACAATTCCAAGAGATTACGAGAAGGTTTAGAGTCTGTACACAGTCTATACATCAGTATCTGGTGTGTCCACCGCGAGTGTCAATAACATCAGCGTAGCGTCTGTACATGGAGTGGACCAGACGATTGATGAAAGCCATTGGCTCCTGAAACCACACTCTCAGAAAAGCCTGGCGCAATCCATCGGCTGTGTTTGGTCTCGGTACGACGTTATTAAGTCTCCTCTGAATTTCATCCCATAGATGTTCAATCGGGTTTAAGTCCGGACTAACGGCTGGCCAGTGCATAATGTTGACACCGTTCTGCTGTAGAAAGTCCCAAGTAACTCAGGCGCTGTGGGCACGGGTGTTGACATGCTGGAAAAAGTTGTTTTGATGACGTGCGAAATGTAGTATGAAGTGGAGTATGAAAGCTTGATCGATGTAGCGCACTGCTGTGATGCCGTCTCCTCTCCCTGGACCAAGAGTTTGGAACACCACAGGACCCACACTCTGGTTCAGGCCGATTCCACCCAAAATCATTATGCTTGGACCTCCCCATGAATCTCGTTCCATGACACATTGGTCAGAATAACGCTGGCCACGTCGACGCCATATTCTGGTCCTACCATCTGCAGTTGATACGCAATACCGACTCTCATCTGTGAACAAAACAGTTCTCCATTGCCTGTGTTGCCAGTTCTGGTGTTGTTGGGCAAACTGTAGACGTTCACGTCGATGGCGATGGGTGAGGATCGCTCCACGGTAAGGTCTACTGCAATGGATGTTTTCTATGGTGAGACGTCGGCGCACTGCATCGGTACTGTTGGGTCTTCACACTGTCTGACGTGCTGTCTCAAGTGCCTGTTTGAAGGGATTCTGCACGTGCTCTCGCACAATATGGCGGTCTTGTCGCCTTGTGGTAACCCTTGTTCTACCAGTTCGGGGCCCGAAAGCGTTGCTGACGCCTGTAGATGGTCCGAACATTGACCTGGAAGAGATTGGCAACGGCTTGAGTAGTGTAGCCAGCGTCGCGTCTTCCAAGCGCCTGGTTCCTCTGAGCTGTCGTGAGTCGTGGCATGCTGCTGACGTATGGGGTGCATTTTATAGGGCTGGTCCCGGTGAACAGCACGTGCAGCATGAGTTACATGAAAATCATGGAGAACACATTACCATCTCAGAAGTCAGGTTGCGTATTTGAGAACATTTCCTGGGTTCAATTCTGTGTTTGGGAAGGAGCCTTATTGCTCAGGTAAAGTTGGAGATGTGGTCACAAATATACAATAAAAACATTTGGCAAGTTTTATGCAATGAGCCTATTCAGAGTAACACAATAACCTGACGTTTCTTTTGCTGCTTAGTATATAAATGTCACAGATGATAGTTTCCTAGGAAAGTTTCACACTAACACATGACATGCAATGCCTACGCTCTATACATGGTGCTTCTAGATTGATGAATTCCCGTAGTTTGCATTCAATGTCCTTGGTTTGCTTCAACCTTTCCCACCCATAAAGTAATACACACTGTATCTGTGTTTTGGATGGTATGTTTTTGCATTAAACTGATGGTCTTGAAGGTATGTCACCGTTCCTTAGTATTATTATTAAACAACCAGTGATTATTCTGATCTACGGTGTAACGTACGTTTATTATCTGCTCAATACATCTTATTGTTTACATGTAGAAAGCCTATAACACCGATATGAACTTTGTACGACCTAATTAAATCTTTAAAAAATAAACATAATCATTTCTGTGTCATAAAGATGTTCATTCTGAACATTATTATATGGCAACGGCGTCCGTGTCTTCAATAACGTTTGAGCAAATTTAACGGTTAATGGCATTAGTACAACCAGTAGACAGATTTTTGAGATTATATTGACTGAAACCGGAATATTCTAATTTCAGTCACATGTTATTTCCAGTTAGGGAATGTTACCTGTAGAATATTTGTAAATGGTTAACATATATCCATCAAAAGAAAATATTAAGTGTTATAACTCAGGTATAAACTGTTGATCTGTTTACAGATGCAGGTACATTACACCATTGAAATTATTTTAGAACTAACTTAAACAGGTAAATATTGATAGAATAAATAAACAAACGTTTTTCCTCACCTGCAATAACCGTGAAGGCCCCAAGCATAAGTACTAATGACGTCACTTGCATTGCACCTCGTGGACTCACCCAAACACTCTGAAAATAGTGAATAAGAGATTGGTTAATTAAAGGGGGTCCAGCAATGTTTGTAGTGTATATTTCTAATCATATGACCTGCAGCTTATTTACTGGCAAAAACGTGTTTGATTAAATGGTTGTTTTCGTAAGGTGTGTTCCATGGACACCATTACTTGTTAACTTATTACAATACACTGTGTGCTTTTGCGATGTTGTTTTTTTGTTCACCTGTCCGTACGCATTCACCTCTAAGATATCAGTGGGTAAGCTATATTATTTTTGTAATTATAAGTTCCATGCTGCGTGGGAGCTATTCATAGAAAACAATAAGCCTCACAGGTGGATTATCTCCCTTGGGAAGCACCTTAAAAATAAAGATTGATTAATTAGCTTTAGCAAATTATTATAAGTTGGAAGTATCAGCACGGAATGTTGAAATTGAAGTGTTAGAGCTCTAAATTCATACAAAGAGTTCTTAATAACTAACTATCTATCTACGAGTATAATTAATTAATATCATTAGTATAATTAAGTGTACGGATAATTTAAGACACCATTTTTGTCTTTATAATGGCCGTACTAAGGGTTGAGAGTTGTACATCAAGAAGCATCTTAGCATAACGAACAGCTCATATTTACAATTTATATATTTACAATTAACTTAGTACGAGTTTCATTTTTAATCGATAGCGCAAAAAATAGAAAAGTATTCTTTGTCTAGCTATATATATATATATATATATATGTTGATATTACTTCGAAATACAACTAAAATGCGCAACAAAACAGGGTCATTAATTTAGAGTTGGGGTAAAAAAAAAGAAGTCTACGTCATCAGTTAGGTTGTTCCACTTTACACAAGGGCATTAACATTACATAAACTTTATACACTTGATAATAAAAATTAATTTTGGCACAAGTAAGAGTCGCTTAATTACCATACTAAGGATGTGCAGCAATTTAATCAACATCTGGATAATGTTGCCGCTCTTTTGAAATCTCACAGAAAGAATCTTGTTCCCTTAGAGATTTCTGTTTATAAACTCGTATTTGACTTGGTGTGCATGGTTTTAGGCCACCTTTCTCTCATCAGCACAGGTGGATGCGTCAAACATACGATTTTCTCATTAGGCCAATCCTAATATAAATTATTCCTGGAAGTTTGGATACCTAATGGATGGTTTGATCAAATAGGCCTACATAGAAACAATACCAAATGCCCAGCTATACAGTAACGATGACACGACATCAAAAAAATGTCCGTAGTTCTGGATTTTCCAGGCAATAAATTTTAAAGATTTAAAATCAAGTGAAAGCAATCATTATTTAATAAGAAATGTGAAATAAAATAAATATTTTTAATGTTTTATTTATATCTGGATATCTTTGGGTAGAGGCAGTTTCAAATCATATCATAAAATTTCAAATAACAAATGCACTACTGCTTGTTAATCTGTTTGTGCCGTACATATATTTTAATTAAGTCTTCATTCTGAGCACGCCTGTGATCTTTTATTAGAGCTCCGAAGGGGATATAAAAGGATCGCCTTGTTGTCAATCCAATTTTAGAAGACGGGATTTGATCTGTGGACCGCCCGACATGTCAAAGAAAAGGCGACAGGTTACTATTCTTTCGTCCTAAAATAAAACCATTAAAATCAATTCATGTCTCCAATTCAGTTTCACATGTAAAATAAATCCCATTCTGAAAAACAAAATAGTTTGGCCTGTCCTGTAATTTGTTTTTCTTGAATATTTAACTTAAAGGGATTCAACTTAAAAGTTGATATTTTAGAATTAACTTCGCATTTATAACTTGACATCGGTGCTATTTACAATAAAATGAATGGGATTTAACGTCCTACTTTTCTGCTCCGACTGGGCTAATGCAGACGGGCATACGCCATACAGTGTGCTTTGAGAGAAATTTTGTCCTGGCAGGGGCGCTACGGCCAACTCAAATTCCAGCTGTCAAGGGTTCTTTTACATGCACGTCAATGTGTACACGGGAACTCGTTTTTTCGTCCCATCCGAACGACTATCTATGTATACCAAAGAATAAATTCACAAAAACCTATATTCTATTGAACCAGGGGGCTTCGGTGAGATTTGAATTTGAATCAAATGCATCAATAATTTAACGAGCACATAAAAACACTTCGGTAACATTTTCCATCAAATTAATAAATCGAATGAAATAATATCTGGTTTGTCGTTGAAACTGTGGTAAATACTTACGGCTTTAAATGTTTCTATTGTCAATAATCCGTACTTCTAATATCCACGATCGGGGATGCGGTGGTTCAGTGAGTAAGACGCTGCCACGCTAACAAGGAGCTCTCGAGTTCGCTCCCGGTGTTGGCCGAGAAAGTTTCTGTGTAGTGCAGGACGAAAAGCCTGATAAAAACATTGTATAGTTCGGATGAGACGCAAAACCCAGGTCTCGTGTACATATTGGCATGCACGTAAAAGAACCCTTGACAGCTGGAATTCGCAATAGGAGTAAGTCGTAGCGCCGCTGTCCGACCAAAATGTCCCTCATTAGCCCAATCGGTGCAGGAAAGTAAAACGTTAAACCCCATTTCATTTCTAATTTTTAGTAATTTAATCATTCATTTGTACAAATCTGCTTTATTTAAAACAACTAAAAACAAAACAGGAAGTCGAATTCTTTTATTTTTTGTACTGTTGCCACATGTTTTAATGCATCTAAGATGAGCAAACTGATCCTACAAATATAATGGTGTTTATCTCTAACATAAGCCATGCTTTAAATCAGGAATGGAAAGAACATATTTAAGTTACATCTATCAAAGTTTAACAAGCTTTCAAAACCCTGTGGAGACGTGAGTTGGTCGAATGGTATGTGTCAAGGAGATCTCTTCAAACCCCCATGAAGACAAATTTTTGCAGAAGGTAATGCACTTAGCTTATCATCTCATTTGGAACTAGACAGTTAATCTTTTTATTCTGTTTTCTGTAAAACATGTTTTGTAGCATGGATAGAGTAAGAGCACTTTGACATAGAGCTAAAAGTAGGAATTGAGTGATCTGTACGCTGTCCAAGAGTAAGTAATAATAAATCATGAAATACGGTATACAGGTTTAAACTATATAAATAAAATCAAAAATGTCTCTGAATGTGTTCAGGATTCGTCGCCCATCTCCATCACTACTTATGTGGTATCAAATTAACCACACGACGCCGGTCGAATTGGACCCCTGACGAATTTGGGCCCCGGGCGAAGCCGGGTATCCTGCTAGTATATAATAAAGTACTGTGGGGACCAAAACATAATAAGTAAAAATGAATAATATGGAAAATAAAGTAAAAAAAATAAACAGTTTAATTTTTGAAAAGATTTCTCGTTGAGTGTTTCATAAAGACAATGAACATGATTCAACATATTGAAATGTTCTATGTAAAAACAAGAACCCAAGTAAGTCTTAAAAATACGTCTTCATTTGACCCCACTGCACAGGGAATGAAGTCAAAGCTCCCAGCTTAATATTATAATATGAAGGAACTGGAGAACAAGAGTGAAACAGACATCGAGAGGAGGTCTAGACTGCACTTTTAAACCAGCTTTCAAGTATCGTCAATGACATTCTGATAATACAACACACCTATCATTATATACGTTAACGACTCCTTGGTAGGATGCTTTCCTCCGGGAGTAAGCTAAGGGACAACTACAAAAGTCAACGACAGCTTCTGGGTTCAGACGTAAATACAAGAACGTGGAACCAGATACTGGTATCCCAATTATCCAGTCGTTAAGCCAAAATTATTATGGTATCACAAGAAAGGATAAAATAATATACAAGCTCCTACAACGCCGCTGTCTGGGTCAAACTTTCTCCATAACACAAAGCATGGTGCATCCTCTTGTTCATTATCCCGATTTTTACAGAAACGCATAAATTTAATCCTCATTTAATTTACTACAAAACCATCATATTTCAAGGACAATATTATAGTCCATGACAATGATAAGCGTTGAAGTTATTTATATCATATCAACATTAGGTGTGAAAAGGAATGATCATCTAATTCTAGCATCAAATGTCACTGATCACGATTCCAAATTTAATATCGGTTATTAAACGTCTTGGGGACAGTTGACAGGTCGACTTGCACTATTAAACTGATATTCCAATATTTTAATCGGCATTATCAACTTATGAGAATGATAAATGGGATAAACTGTCGGCATAGTCATGCTTCGTGGACATGTTTATCATTGGCGAAGATCATGACAGAAATAAATATGTACTATCTTTATATTGAATAAATTCTCACGGTTGTGATATGCTAAACATATTCAATCATTACTGATTTGGATTAGACAAATATTGAAAATTATTAATGAACAATGAATACGGTGACCGTATAGAACTTTCATTCTTACATAGGAAAGGCCTATTAAAATGTTTTCTGAAGTAACCTACAAACTGTCTGTCTTTGCTTTCGGCACAAAGTAATATGATAATTTCTTAGTATTTCCATTTTTACGAAACTAGGACAAAATTAAAATTGCAATTTTATAACGCAGGGAAACATATTATTAATATATTGAATAAAATATATTTCAATTTTAAATATTACTGTCAATGCTTAAGTCGTTCTATGTTCAACCAGATCTGTATAATTACTTAATAGCCATATTATTTGCTTTTCCTTTTCCATATTATGTATTCAGAATAGTAAAGACCTACCACAAGTCCTATTAATACTAATTAATACATAAATTTAAATAAAGCATCGAAGGAATAGCCCAACTTTTCACTAACTCATCTAGTTGGTTAACAGACATTTAAAAACCGTCATGTAGAAATCTGAACTTTCTTTTTTCTTCAAACTTATTGGACACTAAATTTGATAAAAGTAGAATGGACTCAATCGACTAAACACCTTAACACGGCATCTTTAAAGTGGAAACTACAGTAATCCGTATACCTGCAGGGTATTATGAGCTTCATGCAGCACTTGAGTCATTTACTTAAAACAGGTAGAG